ATACATGAGATCCTATTATACATGAGATCGTATTATACATGAGATCATATTATACATGAGATCGTTTTATAAATGGGGTCGTATTTTACATGAGATCTTATTATACATGAGGTCGTATTATACATGAGATCGTATTATACATGAGATCGTATTATACAGGAGGACGTATTATACATGAGGTCGTGTTATACATGAGGTCTTATTATACATGAGATCATGTTGTACATGGATAAATACGGTATTTTATTGCTTTAATTGTCAAACTCTTGCACCGTCTGCAGGTGGCACTTTGAGAATCTACGCTGACAGTCTGAAGCCCAACATCCCGTACAAAACCATCCTGCTGTCCACGAGGGACACCGCCGACTTCGCCGTGATCGAAGCTCTGGAGAAATACGGGCTGGAGAAGGAGAACCCCAGGGAGTACTGCATCGCTCGGGTAAAAATAAAGACCTCCAAAAGGCTTTTTTACTCCCAGCAGACATCTGAGTCCTGTGATGGAGCCAGAAACGTACAGCAGAGCTAACAGTTTGATTTAAGAGGCATTCACAAGGTTTTTATTTGTATTTTGGACCAGCACTGTTGAGCCACTGAACCCAACCATCATATTTCCGAGGGGAGGAAAGTCAAGGTCACTGATTAAAAATACAAACTCCTCCCCCCACACCCTCAACCGGCACTGACACAGCTCAGTCTCTTAAATCTGTCTTTATATGGACTGATTGGGACCAGACAAAACACAAACCCAGCTTAATAAATCTTTTTAATAGAAACTGTAATATGTAGACTGTTTTACATGAACTCTTTCAAATCATTTATCCTCGTTGTGAATAATTCAGTTTGTTTCACATGAGACTGATTCTTGATTCGTTCACAGCAAGATGAGAAATCAGGCAAAGAGGTGGTTCTGGATGATTTAGAGTGTCCGCTGCAGATCTTCAGAGACTGGCCTGCAGACAGAGGTGACTCAAACATTTTAACTCACTTCATGGTTTAGGCCAGAGGTTCTCAAACTGGGGTCCCAGGACCCAAAGGGGTTCGTGAGAGGTATCTTGGGGGTCATAGAAAAAATTTCACTAAATTGTTAATCTGGTTTTTATTTTTTAAAAATGCATGGAGAAAAATGAATCAATAAAACAAACATAATAGATTAAATAAAAATATAAATGTGAGCCGTCACATCGAAACGAGGATTAAATCCAAAAGTAGAAAGTGGAAAAATAGACAGATAAAGGGTTAAACGGTTTTGATTTAACAGTTTGCAAGAGTTGCATTTTGTCAAATATAATGAATTAATGCCTTATCAATGGATCATTTGAATGAACTGTCTTAAATATAATCCTAAACAACATTTTTGAAGCATTTTTTGAGCAGTAGCAACAAAAAACCTGATTTTGAATTTTTCCCTGTGAGCTAACAATGTTTTTGTTTCTTTCCAACTGGGAAATCTTAACATACAGATAATATTTGAGGTTTATTCTTTATATTAACATAAAAATTACTCAATAAATTCACATAAAATTGAGATTCAGACCAAACAGGAATGTATTATCATAACCAACAAGACAAATGAAGTCATATCTCTGGATAACAGGGTTCCTGCAGATCCTTAAAAACTCTTAAAAGACATTGAATTGATCAGTCCAAAGATAAGGCCTTAATTAGCCTTAAAATGTCTTAAACCAATCTTCCAGAGGTCTTAAAATGTTAACGTTATACGTAGGATGACTAATTTGTCTCAAATATTACAGTAAGTGGTAACTTTTATTTGTTTTTCTTTAAATAATTGACTGAATGTCTCTTACAGCTCGTTTTCTTTAAATGTTTGGCTAAAATTGTTGCTAACTGGGCTTTTTCCATTTGTGTTTTGTTGTAAATT